CATCCCCAACACTATCATGGGCCTAACTCCGTCGAATTAGGTAATGGTAACACACTCAATATTACACCCACTGGTACAATTCCCCTCGTTCATTCTTTGTAATGTCTTATTTGTCCCTTCGTTACGTAAAAATCTCTTTTTTATTGCCCGTTTTACATATGAAAATAATGTCACCATTTGTTTCTTCCCTTTCTTTGATCACATTTATGTTTTATTTACTGGTGCATTGCTATTTCAGGGCCCATGTAAGAAATGACTATATCCGTTGTTAGTTTCTCCTCCTAAAGCTCTAGCTGCGTCGTCTGTTGATTTGCATCAACGTCTTGGTTACCAGTCTCCGTCTGTGTTGTTGCGTTTAGGTTCTAGTTTAGGTCCTCATTATACTCTTTCTCATTTTTTTTGTAAGATATGTGCTTAAAGGAAATCCACTCAGCTCACTTTTCAATCAAATAATAAACGTGTTTTTTTTCCTTTTTTTTTTCTTATTCACTCTGATGTATGGATATCCATTATCGATTATGTCTCTTGTTATCATTATTATGTCTTTTTTACTGATGACTATTATCGTTACTCGTGGATTTCCCTATGAAAAAAGAAATCTGAAGTCTTTTCCTATTTTCAGACATTTGTGGCTATGACTCAAAATTTATTTCATGCATCTATTAAATATTTACAAAGTGATGGTGGCATTGAGTACGGAAATCACTCCATGTCTAAGTTTTGTCGTCTCTCCAAAATTCAGCAACGTCTTTCGTGTCTTCACACACCCCAACAAAATGGGCTTACTAAACCCCAACAAAATGGACTTACTAAGCGCAACCACCGTCACATCGCTGACATGACCCGTACCTTACTCACTGCAGCCAAAGCTCCAATCTCGTTATGGGTTGAAGCTGCCTTCACTTCTGTTCACCTTATTAATTTACTTCCCACTCCTACCCTCTCTTGGTCGACCCCATGCACTCTATTATTTGGCTCTCATTCGTCTTACTCTCACCTATGTACCTTTGGATGCCTCTGTTTTCTTTATTTGGGCAATTATGTTAAAAACAAACTAACCCCACACTCCATTAAATGTGTTTTTATGGGTTACAGTTTTTCACATTTGGCTCTCATTCGTCTTACATTTCATGTCATGTCGTCTTCAATGAAGCTGAGTTTCCTTTTCATAAGCCCACGGGTCCAATGCCAACATCCTATGTGGAGCTTTCCATATGTCCTATTGCTCTAAGCCCAGCGCTACTTACCCACGACCCAACTTCACCTCTTCAGCTTGTCAACCCATGTGTCAAATCTTCCCCAACACCAGCTCCTTTGTGTCCACCTCCTACATCATTATCATCTCTTCCACCACTTCCAGCTACAGCCCCACCACATCAGCCTGCCCCATTGCTCCTTATGGTCACTCATTCCAGAAATGGAACACGGAAACACAAAACATGGATTGATGGGTCTATTCGTTATCCATTTCCCCCATGCCTTGATTATGTCCTTATCTACTAATGAACCAACTTATTTTTCTCAGGCAAATCGTTACCCAGAATGGTGTGCAGCCATGGCAGAAGAGATCAATACTTTACTCAAAAATAACACATGGGTCATTGTTCCTTATTCTTCTGCTCAACATAAGATCGGTTATAAATGGGTCTATCACATCAAGTGCAATGCCGATGGCACCATTAAACGCTATAAAGCCTGTTTGGTAACCAAAGGCCTTTATCAATAGCCCGAGTTTGATTTTGACGAAACGTTTATTTCGATGATAAAACCTGCAACAGTCTGCACTGTCTTGAACCTCACAGTGTCCAAGGGCTGGCAAATTTTTCAACTCGACGTAAAAAATGCATTCTTACATGGCCACCTTCAGGATGAGGTTTACATGTCTCAACCACCTGGCTTTATCCATCCTTAGTATCCTCACCATGTTTGCCGACTTCTGAAAGCCTTCTATGGCCTCAAACAGGCCCCTCGGGCCTGATTTACAAGGTTTAGTTCATTTTTATCTTCCTACGGATTCGATCAAAGTCAAGCAGATAATTCTCTTTTTATTCTCCACCATGGTACTCATACTATAGTCCTCATCCTCTACGTTGATGACATAGTTTTGATAGGCAATGATCACACTCTTTTACAAGCATTTATCCAGACGTTGGGTTCTGTTTTTTACTTAAAGGACTTATGTCCTTTACATTATTTTTTGGGTATTCAGGTACAAACAACTGCTACTGGGATTCATCTTTCCCAAACCAAATATGCATATGACCTCTTGAAGCGCGCAAACATGTTTGAATGCAAGCCCTGTTCCACTCCGGTTGCTGCAAAAAACTTCACTCTCAGCCCATGACGGTCATTTACTTTCCATACCCATTAAGTTTCGCGCTCTCATTGGCTGTCTCCAGTACCTAACCTTGACCCAGCCGGACATATCGTTTGTCATCAACAATGTCGCCCAGTTTATGGCGTCTCCTCACCAGCCACACCTTTTGGCCATTAAATGTATTATACGGTACATCAAAGGCTCGTTAACTCATGAAAGACAATATTACATCAATCAAAACCATACTCGAATCAAGTTGTATTGGTGTCCCAAAACCAAAAAACTCGCGCAGGCGGACAGTGGAAGAATATATGGATTTGTGTTTCCAAAGCCTCACCACAATGCGGACAAACCATCTCCAAATGATCACCATGTTGTTGGAAATTAGCTTGCACCGCAATGATATTCTTGTAGCCCCTCCAAATGAAACGACGTAGTTTCTGGGGTACTTCAAATTGCCAAATTGTTGACCAAACTTCCTTCTTTTCTTGACCGCCACTAGATTCCCCCACTCCCTTACGACCGAGCTATCCATTCTGACTTAGGTCTTAAGGGATTAAATACCCCAACTTAATTGTATACAACCCATTCTTTGTGTAATGCCAAATTAATTTATTAGTGCACCCAAATTTGCTTAGTGGCATACTAAAAATGATGTGGGCTTCTTCAATAAGATCCTTGTTCCACAATCCACCACTCCCATCCATTAACTCCATAACCTTCTCTGGCGCCATCTCCTCATGCCGCGAAAGGGGGTAGAAATGTTCGAGGAGTGGGCGGCCATGGGTCCACCCTAATTCGAATATTTTGTCTATCACCCATTCTACATTGGATTCCAGCTTTTAGGATTTTTCTCCCTTGTAAAATCCCTTTCCAACCCCATGAAGTTCCTCATCCCATCAGTGCCTCTAAAAACGAAGAAAAAGGATAGTATTTAGCTTTAAGAATTTTTGCTAGGATAGATTCCGGATCACAAATAATTCTCCACCCAACTTTAGCAAGCATTGCAAGGTTGAAGGAAATTATTTCCTTTGAAATTGAGCCATCCTTTTGTTTTTCCCTTCAACATTTTGTTCCATGCCATCCAATGTCCCTTCTTTGTTTTGTGATCTCTCCACCAAAATTTTGCAATCACATGTTCGATCTCATTCGCCAATCGAATCGAAAATTGGAGACATGACATTGCATAATTTGGCAAGGCCGATACCACACTTTTGATTAGAACTTCCTTTCCAACAACCAAACGAAATTGCTCCACCCACCCATTCACTCAATTGTCCACTTTATTTCTTACCTCTTCAAATACCTTTTTTTTTTCTCGAGTTCAGTAGCTTGTCGGAGAAATGCCACTATGAAGCTTCTTTTCCCTCTTCTTGCAATCGAATAGGCAAACTTCCTAGTTGTAACCAGAATACTCCCTCTTGGGCAAGTGGATCAAAAGATGATGCAATCAACCAAACAATACAGTAAATTGAAATAAGGGTTTCGGGATAGAATGTTGAAGGGATACATACACGCTTTTATAATGATATTTTCTATGGTTATGCCGGCGATGATAGACGGATATGGTAATTGGTTTGTTCTGATTAAGCATCAAAGTTAGCTTGGATACTTAAGTACTTTCCAAAACATTCTTGGTGTTTGACATATAACACCTCTGCCAACCAAACCTTCATGTTTTGTGGGCAATTTGAACTAAAATGAACAGAACTCTTCTCCAAGTTTATAAATTGACTCGACCTTTCAGCATAACATTGGAGTAAGTTGTTAACACATACTGCCTCCGCCTTCGTTGCTTGAAAAAAAAGTACAAAATCATCTACAAAGAACACATGGGATAAGAGCTCGGCATGTTCTGCTACTTTGAGTCCCCGTAGCCTTCCGTCTCACTCCTCCCTTAGTAAAAGTGAGGAAAAACCCTCGACACAAATCAAGAAAAGAAATGGGGAAAGGGATCCTCTCCGGATCCTTTTCATCAAATCCACCAAATCAGAAGATTTGGATCATTGAAATTTGATCTAACGGCTAAAGTTATTATAACTTTTAAAGGAGGCCCTTGTTTGTAGTCGTTCAATCAAATTTCAATGGCTCAGATACCCTGATTTGATGGATTTGGTGGAGGGGATCCAAAGATGATCCCTTTCCAAGAAATGGAGAGAGAGGGACCCCTTGTCGTACTCTTCTACTTGGTGTAATGGCATTTCCCTTAGAAAACACTTGATGTGTTTTAGTTTTAGTTGGAGTATTTGACACCTCCTTTGGAGATGGTAGTTAATAGAAGTCTCATGGTATTTAAATGTGACTTTAAAATGTCTTCAAAATATGATAGCACTTAAAAAGTCATTAATTTTTAACAGGTTTGAAATCTGTTATTTAATATTACAATCTAACAGTATTCACTTTCACTTTGAAGTGGAAAGTTTAAGTTTCAATTCATGAGAATATTGTTAACCATTGTTAATCAAAAAGTACTTCAAGCATTTTTTTAACTGAAATTCACTTTTTGTTTTTTCTTTTTCAAATAATATCAGAAGCACTTTTGGTTCGTTTTTAGTTTTTTAAATCCACTTCCAAACATACCTTAAACCAACACTAACAAGATAGCTTTCAACATTGGGCATATAGAAGCACGTTTCGGCCCACGTCTTTCCACACTTAAAAGTTGGGCCTATGCCAGTTGTGAAGCCTTAAAATAAAAACAATTCTTAGTGTATAAATTGATTCACAAGAGTTTTAACCTAAATCTCGCGTGCTCTTATTTCTCCGCAAACCCTATTCGGCCGCCATTGAAGCTCTGCTACGAAGCTCTATTTGTTCACCTACGTAAAACGGTAACTTCTCCTCGACATACATCCATCCATCCTTTACAGTACTCCTTTTATTAATTTATTATCAGTAGAGCAAATTGAATCTGATTCTCATGTATATTATGTATCTTTATGTATGTATATGTGTATATATATACCTTGTGATGTTGTTTGGATGTGTAGAGATGAAGGTTGTTGCTGCATACTTGCTCGCTGTTTTGGGAGGGAAGACGAGCCCCTCAGCTGCTGACTTGAAGGACATTCTTGGATCAGGTAACTTTTATATTAAAAAAAATTCTTTGTTGCTGCAACGGCGTGCGATTCATGTAAAAATTGTTATTATTTTCACTGTATTGTTTGTGTTAAATTGGGATTTCCGTTTGTGGGTTTTGCTTGGTTTAGATAATTTAAATTTATTTGTTATAATTTTTCTATTTGTTATTCGTATGCTGATGATTAGTATATTTAGTCTTTTACATACAGGTTTCCTAGTCATGTTAGTCCTCTTAGCTTGAATTTGTTTAGACTATCAATTTTGATGTTGCGGCCTTCCAGCTCTACGGTTTTGAACTCTTAACCCCTACACCATTGGCAAGGGTTCTAGTGTTGCACCCAACCACTCTTGGACGAAAGAGTTATTCATTTAGTTTGTATGTTAAAAACTCTTCTCAAAAAGTTTGTATGTTAAAAACAAAATTGTGGAGATTTCGGTTGCGTAATGCTCATTTTGTCTATTAGTTCTTATTAATTTAACTTGAGATGGAATTTTGATAATCAGTCTTGCAACCTATATCCATGCACGTGGTTGAATTTCTGTATTGAAATGGAAGTGGTTTTGTTATTGGAATTCGAACATTATGTTATCCGGGAAATGAAAGTTAGAATGAGCCTTCATATGTGAGATGTGTCATTAGTAGTAACTTATCCTTGACTAGGTACTGTTTGCATGGAGAAGATGCTTAGGTTGCCCTTGGTACTAGTGTTTGAAAAAAGTGGTATATTATTATTTGTGCAGCAACGTTTCGCACTTTGAAATGTAACTTATTTATTTGTTTGGTTACAGTTGGAGCCGAGGCTGACAGTGACAAGATTGAGTTGCTATTGTCCGAAGTCAAGGGAAAAGATATCACCGAGCTAATTGCATCTGGAAGGGAGAAGTTGGCATCTGTTCCATCTGGTGGCGGTGCAGTTGCTTATTCCGCACCTGCAGCTGGCGGTGGTGGTGGGGCTGCTGCTCCTGCCGCTGCCGAGCAGAAGAAGGAGGAGAAGGTGGAAGAAAAGGAAGAATCAGACGATGTAAGTATATTATGTCAAATGCAGCTGTTGATAATATCTAGTTTGCTTTATTTGTAAGCTGGGCTGTTCTAATGTTATTGTGATTGTTGAATAACTACTAAAATCGTTTTTTTTCTTTCTTTTTTTGCAGGATATGGGTTTCAGCCTTTTCGACTAAGGGACTTGCTTTTGGTGCGTTTCCTGTATCAAGACTTGACATCTTCAGTATTACTTTCAGGCCAATGCTGTGTTTTTAAGTTTCTATTTCCAGATCTCAAAAATTTTGTTTCGATCGAAGAAATTTGCTTTATATATTATATCCATCTGTTTAGTCGACTTAAGATCGCTTGCTTGTGGTTTAACGCGGGTCTGGTTCATTCAAATTTTGCGTTACCATGCCTCTTATATCCTGTTGCTCTTTGCTTCGTTAGATTATTATGTAGCAAAATTCATCGATCTTTCCTACTTTAACCAAAAATCAACTTTTTGAAATGCTCATTTACTTATATTTGAATGGAAATATGTATGAAAAGCCTTTTAACTATGGGTTTTTAGCATCAAAGGGGAGACCTTGAATTGATCACATAACGTAGCGGGTTCTATTAGGGCTGTAAATCGGCTTGATGGAGTTCGAATTCAACTGATGCTCTACTCGTTTTCCAACTCGTTCTAGCTCGGTGTTGATGAGTCTGAATTCAACTCATTTTTTGACTCGCAGTTTGGTTCGTACAAAACCAACCTGTCCTTGAGCAAAATGTTAGAATTATGTAACTACTCAGACGTGTGTGTGGAATAGACATAAAGCAGCGGAAATGGAATCCAAGTTCTGCTGTTCTTGCATCCATATACATCTTAAGTGATGGCCTCGTCAATCATTTATTTAAATGGAACTTTAACGAAAAGCATCAGGTACTGTTCACTTTAACGAAAAACCACATTTTTACACTAAAAAGTCAATTCTAGTACTATTCACTTTACCCTTTATTTTGTCCTTATCATTAAAACTCAAAGTTTTCAAGCATTTTTCATTAGTTTTCCTTTTATTGAATGCTCATCGCTTCCTCGCTCTTATGTCTTTTGTTGTCACCACCACCATTTGCAAATGCAATGGCGTCTCAATTAGTTAGGATTGTTTGCAACCAAACCCGAAACCAATTCGCCTAAAACTCTATGCAATGCGTCTCAATGGCGTCTCAATTAGTTATGACCTTTCTTTAGACAATATTCCAAAATAATTTGATAATCTCCTAAGACTGACTCCTTTTACTCATGACATCCTTTTCAAGAATGCAAAATCTTCGATCATAGTTAGTACGAAGAGCTTGCTCGAGTCACTCTTGAATTAGCAGTAACGAATACAAAAGATAGGCGTAGCTTCATTAACATTTAATCAAGAGGGATTTGATGGAGCCTATTGAATAATAATTTTTGGTACATCATAGGGATATGGGGAGCCTAGTGAAGTTCAACTTCATATTTTAGTATCTACCAAACTTTATGGTCATATTAAGCATGCATGTTGCATTCTTTGTTACTTTCCAATTATTAAATATCTAGAAAAATATGCTCAAATAATGTATTAAATTTTGAAAATACTTATGTACAAAAAAAAAAAAAAATGTTTCTGCTATTACTATTTATAAAAAGGAAAAAAAAAGAATGAATGGTGAAAATAAGAAAGGAAAAAAAGATACTAAAAGTGTCACAGCCCGTCCCGAGATTCTATTTATCGAGGTTGTGAAATGACGAAAGTACCCTTGACGGTTACTAAGGTATGTGTGTGGCATGTTATTGAATATGCATATTTCCTAAGTTTTGGAAAATTTAAATTGGATAAGGTTGTATTTTTTGTGGTTAGGGAGTTAAGGAAATGGATGGTGATTATTTTGGGATGGACCACACACATACACACAGGTCAAACCCTTCCTCTCTCTCCCCCGTGCTATCTCTCTCTCCTCTCCGTTTCAGTCTCACTCTCTCCCTCTCGAAAACGTACGGACCAAAGCACAAAACCCTCTAATCATCACGGATCGACGCCAAAAGGGTAAGGTTCTTCATCCTTTCGACCTCCTGAGTTGAATGGTACCATTTTTAGAACTTAGAACCCTCGATATCACGTTGAAAACTCGAGGTCCGATTTGATTACTGTTCATGTATTCGTGGTGTGTTGATTTTCAGGGAATTATAAGCTTATAGTGAGCTTAGTGAGGTCCTAAGGAAGCTCGGAGTGCTTAGTTTGAAGGTTTTGGACGTCGGGATCGTTGAGTTCGAAGTTGGCCGGATTTCTTGGAATCTCTCCGGTGAGATTTCGTAGTTTTTAGAGCCTTAAACTAGTACATCGTGATTCTACATGTATGGGCTTCATTTTGATATAAAATGAGTGAAAAATGGTTGAGAAATGACGAAGAACAAGGAGATTGAAAAATCTTCAGTTTTCCGGTGATCGGAAAAACCAGTTCGGCGACTGGAGGAAGAAGATGACGCACGTGGAGCGCGTAGGTCTGTGCCCCCCGGCGCGTGGGGGCACGTGCGGCCTCGAAATTTTTTTCTAAAAATACCTCGACGTCCGTGACATCGAGTAGGTCACTGTGGTATATTCATATACCCAAATTGAGCACCGTATGAGAAGTTATTACGAATTGTCGGTTATGTGCTTTAAATAACGTTGTTTTAGTTGTTTCTCATATAGGTGATACCTATCCCGAGGACGAGCGGATTCAAGGGCGTCACGGGGGGGTTACGACCCTTCGACTTATCAGTGAGTGGGCAATATTTTCTGTATTTACCTATATACTATTGATTTTTCTCAGAAATTGAATTTAAATGAAAGTATGTTTTTAAAATGCCATGCATACATATACATGAAATATATGAATTGATAATTGATGCATATATATATATATATATGTATGTGAATTGGTGTTGTGGACGTACATGTGAGTATCAGGTGAGTTTTACGTTATTCATGTGAATCATTGATGATGTGAATTGTGTTGAGAGCTCATAACCTGCACCGTGGTGTTAGTGCTTATAGTATTTACCGCACCGCACGCTCACCTTGGATCCAAGTAGGTGCATGTCGTACAAACCATGAGAGGGTTCCGACATGCTAGTCGTACAGATCACTAGAGGTGGTTCCGACTGGTAGGTGACCTTAGATTATATGCACAGATGATTGACGAGAGAAGCACTAGAGCGTATTCTTACACCATTCTTGTTGTACAGACTACTTCAGGTAGTTCCGACTTATGCGCAGAGTAGTGCCGTACAGGTCACCGTGGTGACTCCGGTTGGTTTGGATATTGAGCTATGGAATTAACCGTACAGGACCAACTGCAGGGTCTCCGGTTGATTCATTATGTCACCTGTTATATTGATGCATTCATAATCTGTTATTGACATTTATGGCATGGCATATTTTCTGGAATTGATAAAGATTGATGATTTGAGATATATGAGGAATTATATACTATTATGTTATTTTCTGGGAAAGTATACAGGTTGTACAGCGATGGGTTAGAATTGTTTTTGATGAAATGTTTTCGAAAAGCTTTGGTTTTACTGACCCACTCAATTTTGTTTTGCGCCCCTCTAGGTTTTAGTTAGCAGCGTTGGTGGCCCACGAGGATTCCCACAGCGTACTGACAGACTACATAAATGTAGGACTCACCTGCGGGTGTTGTAATTTAGTTATGGTCCTACTTGACTACATCTAGTACTTGTGCTCTGAATTTATGTGTCTCACACTTAAACTTACTCTAGCACGTTACTTGGTTATTATTGCTAGTATTTGGTTTTTGTTTATTCGTATTTCTTTTATCTTTTCCTTCCGCATCGCACTTTCGGTTACGTCACGCTCACGTGACGGCCAGCACGCCTTGATTCTAGGATCGGGGTGTGTCAGTTTGGTATCAGAGCCTAGGTTGCAGTCATGTATAAATTGTTAATACTCTAATGATCTTTTAGTGTCTTCTGTCAGAACTATGCCACCTCGTAGGGAATCACGCCGTGCTTCTGAGTCTAATTTCCCTGATATAACTCAATTAAAGGAAGCGATGACCCATGCCTTTCAGAATGCAATCCGTCCTCATCCTCCTCATCAGAGAACACCCCTGAAGACTATGTATAATCTGAAATTGGACCGTTTCATGGGTAATGAGGGTCATAAAGGGGCAGAAAAGTGGTTAGACCATATTGAGAAGACTTTCCAGGTGATGCAGAGTCAAGGGAATCTTCCTGCTAATAGATGGGTGGAGACCACTACTTGGTTTTTAGGACGAGAACCAGCAGCTTGGTGGTTAAATCAAACTAAGTTTATGTCGCCTGAGATGGCAGCTGACTGGGAAGTATTCAAAGAGAATTTTATGAAAAGATTTGTTCCTCCGGAGTACATTGACCGTAAAAAGCAGGAGTTCACTCAAATAAAGCAAAAGAATATGTCAGCGCATGAGTATTATAGGAAATTTACAGACTTATCTCGTTATGATCCTAATACAGCTAGTAATCAGGCAGAGATGCTTCGCCGTTTTAAGCTGGGAACTAAGAGGAAATGGCAGACTTTTGCTAGTGCGCTTCCTTGCACCAATTATCATGAGTTTTCTGAAATTTTGGTTCGGATGGAGGATTCCGACAACCTTCCTAGTAACAGTGAGGATGATGAAGATAAGAATGATAATCAAAAGAAAGATGATAGGGGTAAAGGTATCTCCACTCAGGGACCCTGTAAGAAAAGTGGAGCGAGCTCGAGTTCTTCCAGTGGAGGATTTAGTGTCACAAGCCCGATGAGAGGTGGAAGATTTGCTGGTGGACCCAGGTTTCAGAGACATAGAGATTTTGGTGGTGCTGGTGGTTCTGGTGCTCCGTTGTGCCGCCGTTGTAACTTCAGACATCATGGAGAGTGTAGGAGAAGTGGTAGTGGTGGTGCTTGCTACACTTGTGGACAGATGGGACATAGGGCTGCTCAGTGTTCCCAGAGTCAGTAGAGATCTTAGCAGTCTGCTATGCCACCTCCAGCGCAGATTCAACAGAGCTTTGGATCAGGCAGTTATGGTCAGACAGGTCGTGGTGGTGCTTACCACTACCAGGGTGATACTGCTCCCTATGCTTCCAGACAGTATCAGTATCCCCAGGATCCTTATTCTCAGACTGGGTATTCCCAAGACCCTGGAGGTTATACTTCTTATTCTTCCATGCCAGCTAGTCGATCTCAGTGGCATCAGGAAGGTTAGCCCCGATAGGGATAGGTTGCTGTTAGCAGTGCAGGACCGCCTAGGTAGTCTAGCCAGCCAGGACAGGGACGTACTTCTCAGGGGCGAGGTAACCAAGGCAACAGAGGTCGTGGTGGACGACAGCAAGCTTAGGGACGTGTTAATCACATATCACT